CTCTCAATTTCTCATTTTTTAATTTTCTCTAAAAGGTCAGATGTTAAATGTCCACTAAAAAAACTTTATTGCATCCAGTTGCCCATGGAAAGGGATATAAAGGTATAGTATCCATCTATGTTAATTGGTTTGGCTGCTAGCTTTAACTCAGCACTCAGTCAACATGCCTTAAATGGTGCATGACCACATGGTTTGCCCACTTTTGAAATTTAAAAAAAATCATCCTCTTCTATGCTTGCCAACATACTACTCCATCAAGTAGCAAACTAGTTTTATCAAATGGATGATGTCTAATTAATCAAGTTCTAAAAATGCAAGCAGACTGTAAAGGATTTTTTTTTTAATTTCCTTGAAAACGTAAAATGGCAATCAGGAAATAAAATGTAACAGTGATGTTCATTGGAGTATAATACTTGTTCAATTTTCAGTACCAAACAATGAAACATCTCAAATAATAATTAAAATAATTAAAATTGCAATACTGTATCTTAAAATCAGTATCAATTATTTTGCAGCAAATGGCCTGGCCTGGCCTAACTCCCATCTTTTAAATTTTTAAATTTTTTAATTCATGATTTTACAAATTGGGTGTTTTAATCTGTGTTTCGGCCGAAATATTTAATAATTTTAAGGGATTTTTTAATATTTGTATTATCTGTATTTTATCTTGGCTGTTCACCGCCCTGAGTCCTTCGGGAGTAGGGCGGTATAGAAATTTGATTAATAAATAAATAAATAATAAATAATAAATAAATATCTATAAAGTCATAGCATTAATGTAAAATAGAAGGTGCCAATATTTATTTGGAAAATAAATTAATACATACAACAAAGTTTGACCCTAAGAAAAAACTTTATCCTTTCTTTCCCATCTAGCCTTTTTTGTTTAATGTTTAATGTTGTCACTGATATTGTGTTATAATTCTTTACTGAAATGAACGATTTCTGCAATAAATTATTTTTAAATTGTGTATATGATTTAAAATTATGATATGTAAATTTATTAATAATAGTGAGTAGATCTTAGTGTTTGTACTGTTGAGGAACAAAACTCTACTATTCACAATTTCCAGTAATTAAAAATGATCTATTATTTCCTGTATATAAGTATGCTTGATATATCAAAACTCAAGCAGAAAGCAAAAAAGCAACCAAAAAGACCCTACCTCAACTTTTTACTTTTGCAATCTATCAATTTTATCATTATGAAAAATGTGAATCTTGTGTCTCTGCAATATTGAATGAATGAGAAGTGAACACTAACATTTTATTACATAACAACACATACAATTTTCTATTTTCTGATAGCAAACACTAGGTTTCTGGATATCTGCCTGCTTATTGCATGCAATAAAGGGCATGCAATAAAATGAAGAGTTTGGATCTGAAAATTCCCTGAATCGGCCTCAGGGGGAATTTTTTTTTTTATGAAGCAATTAGACTATCTGCTGTAGAACTTGTCTTTAAACTAAAATTAATCATTTATTAACCTGTTTCCTATTATATAACACATTTCTGATATATATATGTCTAGGCAGCCCAGCTATATTATCCTTGCTTTTAACAGTATGGATCTCCACATGTACATGAAGCACATTTTTACATGTTAGACTTAATATGCCTGCTGGATTTGACCCGAATGTTTTCAATAAGGAACATTGTTTTTCAAATGGATAGAGTATATCCATCAATTAATATTCTGCACTCATTTTTGTCCCATTTTTCTCATTTAATAATGTCTTAATTTATTTTATTATAAATTAGTACAAGTATGTCTTGATGTTTTTATACTGTACTGGTGTAGAACTGATGAAGGACTAAACAAACTCCATGGATTATTATTTTCTCCACAACTATTGCTTAGCCTTTTACATACAATAAATAGCAATGTTGCATTACTCTTTTTATCTAATATAGCTGTACACTATTTAGGATTAATTAAAATTTCAATTGAGTTTATTATCATATCAGAACTATATAAATTTTAAGCAAAACAATAAAGTCAGATTAATTGATTTTAGGGATTTTATCTGTAACTTTTAACTCAGAGTTTTTGTTTTATTTTTCTGTTTTATTGTTGTGACCAGCCCTGAGTCATCTCAGAGAAAGGGCGGCATATAAGTCTAAACAAATAAATAAATAAAAATTATTTTTATTTGAATGATTTGTATGGCCAGCCATGTTAAAACTCTGGGAGGCTCAGAAGTTCCTTGGTAGTACAAGTGGTAGTATTAAACTGAATAGCCAGTTATTTTTGAGTCCTTTTCCAAAGGAAGTACCATTAAATAGAAATGTTTATGTGTGTATGTTCTTGCTAAATATACCGACAGATAGTAAACACATATAGCAACCAAAGGTACATCTTGAAGTCTTGTACTACTACAAGAGTAGTAGTTTCATAACTCGGGTGTACATAATCTGTCCAAAAATTGAGATGAAGGTTGTTCATAAAGTTATAATTGGTTTGCTTTAAGGTTAACATATGAGTACCAGGTATCATAAGAAAACCATATTGTCTTATCCAGATCTTCCACTTGAATCTTTAAGAAGGCTGAATCCCTGAATTAGTAAGCTTTTAAAACATCACGTTTTCTAGTGTAATATTTGTTCAAAGTTTATTAAGCAGTGCTAGACCTTGATTGTACATCAATATATCATTTGTGAATCAATTTTCTTGAGTTTAAATATTTTCTTCAAGAGTCCAAAATACTATTAATTTCTCTCTATTAAGAATATTATAAATAGACCTAATTAAAGTAATTAAGATAATGGATAAATTACATTATCACTATTATCCTTCTACACTAATTACACATTACTGGAAAAATTACAAAAAGGGTATAGAATATATTAATTTAAAGACATGTCTCTTCAGAGGCATAAAAATAGATAAATCATAAAGTAAAACATTTTTGTAGTCTCTTATAATTAATTATTAGCACAATTTTATTCTGCTTATATGTAACTGGTGCTAAAGGCTGTTAAAAGTATCTATCAACACTTAAAGTGTTTTCCTACGGCACCCTGTTGAAGAAATAAATCAGGGGTGAAATCCAGCAGGTACTGACAGGTTCTGGAGAACCGGTAGCAGAAATTTTGAATCGTTCAGAGAACCGGCAAATGCCACCTCTGGCTGGTCCCAGAGTGGGGTGGGAATGGAGATTTTACAATATCCTTGCCCCAGGAGTGGGGAAGGAATGGAGATTTTGCAGTATCCTTCCACTGCCATACCCACAAAGCCACACCCACCAAGCTACACCATGCCCACCAAGCCATTCCCACAGAACCGGTAGTAAAAAAAAATTGGATTTCACCACTGAAATAAATATTATTGTATCTTCTTGACATGAGTCTATTACCCATCTCTGCAAAAAGTACAACCTATTCCTTGTGAGAACTGACATTCTTTTCTTAGCCTACCTTCTTTCTAAAAGTTCTCAAAAAAAGAAATACAGGTAGTCTTCAATTTGCGACAGGTTGACCTCAATCCAAATTTCCAAACATCAGGCCCCGTTCATGGTCACATAACCAAACTCTGAGTGCCCAGCGACATGGGGGCACTGTGGCCATTTTCAGCATCCCACATTAATAATTCACATTTTATAGCAGTTTTGATGGCAAACTGCTGGTTCGTTTTATGACCACCATAGTCACATCATGACCACTACAAACAAGTCATAAACAAATCATAAACTGACCTGTTTTATAACCATCAGGACATACAACTGTAATGGAGAGGCTCCATTATGGCCATATGTTGATGACTACCTGTAGCTGTCTATGTAGAAAAAAAAGTTGTGTATTTAGGAATCAACTTCACAATGAAAAATTAGAATCGTAAAGATCTAGAATGGAAAAACTGACATAATGAAGAATGTCAGATAAATAAAAATTTAGAAAAATTAAAAATGTGATTATTATTATAAAAAGATATGTATATAACTTGAATATCAGAATAAGCCAGCTGTATGATGGGATGAGCTCCCATCATTTGTTCCAGCTCCTACCCACCTATCAGTTTGAATGCAGGCAATCTGAAGAAGATAAATAGGTACCACTTTGATAGGCACATTGAGACATGGAAGGAGGTCCAACCGGACATCCCCTGGATACAGTGATGTCACCGGCTAGTCCATTGAAACTGTGTTATGTGATTACCTTTATTACCTGGTTTATCCCACCTTGGTGGGTGTTGGAAGGAATTATATATTTCCTGCATGATTTTGAATCTGATGGAGTATCTAAAGTGTATGATGACTTAATAATCTGTATCAAGTTTTCTATTTTCATGAAATGTTGATAAGGGCAGGGATAAATTCAAAGGGAGACAGAGGTGAGTCCATTGAATCCAGTTTCATTCTACTTATATGAAAATAGTATATACAAAAATCTACAGATACACAAAAGCTTAAATCTTAAACCAAGGGTGGGTTCTACTTACCTTTGCTACTGGTTTGCAATGGGCCTGCGCATGCACAGAAGCTTCCTGATGATGTCGGGGTCGGTGGGAGGAGCCGCCCGCCAGTTTTACTACTGGTTCTATAGAACCGGTCCGAACCGGGGGCAACCCACCACTATCTTAAACTGTTAAAACTTAAATTTTAACAAGGGAAATTCATAATCCACCACCATATATTTAATATAGTAATAAATTATACATTTGAAATAAATAGACTAAAAGTAAAAAATAAGTGGTTCTATATCCTTAAAGTGTATACATTTTTTTAAAAAAGCATTTCAAATTAGCAGATATTTATCATCTTGAGAAATGGCCAGTTAGGCACAAATTAAAAGGAACAATTCAAATATAGAAATGATATTTTTAAAGTGTGTAGCATATACCAAACTAACTACATTTCCATATGCAAAGAAAATGTGATGTTCTGGCATTTTTAAAAAATTATCCACAGAAAAGAAATTTCACAAGCATGATAGGCAGATTGCATGTTTAGAATTCTCTCTGAGTAAAGGAGAAAAAAAAGTGAAAATAATATTCATACCTCTCTCCGTCGAGAAGCCCAACAGGTTTGCTTGATTTTCCAGACCACAGCAGCCACCAGTAGCAGTGACAAGAAACAACTGCAATTGTAAAATATAAAAAAATAATTTAGAGTTGAGAATGTTTTACATAACATGTAAATTTGACTTCATAGTTTGGAAAAGAGAATGTTAAGAACACCAAACAAAAATATTAAACATATACCAGCTACCCAGTATTACATAACCAGAATTTCCTGAAGTATTTTGATGAATGAAAAAAAACAGAGTATTTGAATTGGTTTATTTGAAGGCTTTCTGCTAATCATGTCACTTATATGCCAGAAGTGAAACTAATACAAATCTAAGTAAAATTACAATAAAATTAAAACAGCAGACTATAATCTTCAATGTGTCTAAATTGTATTATTCTCCTAATAATTCTTTTTTTTTAATCCACAATGTGAGAGATTAAAAATAGGTTAAGAACTAGTGTTGCTAGTGGTGTAAAAAAGAATACCACAACTTACATCAACAACCAGGACCAGAAGTGCATCACTAAGAGTGTTATCTCTTTCAGAAAAGTCTATAGGTCCTACACAATGCTTGACCAGTAGATAAAATTAGCTAGATGGCTAATCTATCTCCTTTCCAGTTAACCACAACTTTCCTGGGTTGTTTTCAGGGGTGGTATTCACTTACCTTCGCTACTGGTTTGCAAATGTGCGCGTGTGCACTTTGCTCGCACGTGCCACCTCCACGCATTCGCAGGACCTTCTGCACATGCGCAGAGCATCAAAAATGGGATATGATGACATCCAGGTGAGTGGGCGGAGCCTCCCGCCATCACCGCTACCAGTTTGCCCGAACCAGATAGAACCGGATGAATACAGGCAGAACAGGAAAAAGGTTTTGCTTAGCTCTAATGTACATGACAGTTTAACAACTCATGAATTAGTCCATAATTGTTAAACTGTCCTGCACATTAGAGCTAAACAAAAACTTTTTTGCTCTGTCTAGAAAAGCTTGATTTTTTTAGGCACAATAGGAAAGAATGCCCAGAGTCCATTTAGCCAGGATCAATATTTGTATCCAAGGAGCCCTGACAAATTCACAGGCTGGGTTGTACAGATTGTCCATTTAGAGAAGGGGAAAATTGTGATTATATTTATTTATTTATTTATTTCATATTTTTATATGCCGCCCTTCTCCAGAAGGACTCAGGGCGGCGAACACAAGTTAAAAACATGTACAACAAAATCCCATTTTAAACCAAATTAACTAATAAATAATAAATAATAAAACCCAGAATCAGAGTCAGCCTATTTGCTTGAACAGCCAAGTCTTCAGGTCCCGACAGAAGGAGCGGAGATCAGGAGCCGTCCGGAGCTCAGTAGGCAACTCATTCCAGAGGGTGGGAGCACCTACAGAGAACGCCCTACCCCTGGGCGCCGCCAGACAACATTGGCTCACCGTCGGAACCCTGAAGAGAGCAGACCTGTGAGCGAACAGGACGGTGAGAGGCAGGCAGGAGAAGGTCCTGCAAATATCCTGGACCTAAGTCATGTAGGGCCTTATAGGTGAGAACCAGCATCTATATTATATCTTTTAGCTTTATATCTATTTCTATGGAAACATCTTTAGTATAGGAAGAAAACAACAAATTAAAATCAGCAATGAAAACATCAACAAAAAACCAAATAGCATTTGCCTCAAGTAGCACACATATCTACAGCCCTCAGAAAATAGGTTCACAATTTCCTGCTTCAATGTCAGGGGGTGGGAGAAAAACACATTTTTAATGCTTTGCACAAAGGCATCAGTAGCTGCCTGAGACTTAAGCATGTAATGCTACTGATTTATTATCCATATTTTGATTTATGGGTTATTCCCTATTTTTAAATGTATGCTCATTTAGATGAAACACTGAGAACAAATCTGTATTACATCAGCCCAATTGTAACACAAGTGTGGCTAGTAAATTTAGGATTCCAACTAATACCTGTTAATTAGCTAAGGGATACTGTTATTTAATATTGTTTTAATTAACTATATACCATATTAGTAATGTTAAAAAGAAGAGGGAATTGAATGAAAAAAATCAATAATCTCTAACTCATACTTTCACTATCATCCACACTCAAGGGGACAACTATCAAACTTTCTCTTTATATTGTCAGTTCTCTGAGTAATGCAGCCAGGAGCAAATTTTCTAACTTTTTATTATCAAGAAGTATCATCCAGCTCAAAGGGAATTCTTTATATTAAACTTTTTTTTCTGTATTTTTCCCTTACATTCCCAAACTATTGCATTCCTTAAGGATTTTAATTTAAACTTAATTAAATTGTATTATTTAGGGCAGATTTCCAAGTTTATGTTATCAAGATGTTGAAAATGATGAGCCCTATTAGATAGGTTAGTGTTATGGTGCTGCAACTTTAAAAACCCATAGTCCTGGAATAGCCATAATCAGGGGTGGGTTCTAAATTTTTTTACTACTGGTTCTGTGGGCGTGGCTTGGTGGGAGGGTAATGTGATTGCGTGGGGGTGGCCAACTTTTTTTTTTACTTTTAAAAGCATTTTTTAAAAGGTTGCAGAAAAAAATGCTTTTAAAAGCCTTTGACAATCCCAGCTGAGCCGCGTGATCATCAGAGACTTTTTTTTTTACTTGTAAAAGCATTTTTTCGGCCGAAGAGGTTGTAGAAAAAATGCTTTTAAAAGTAAAAAAAACAAACAAACACTGATGAGGTGGGCGAGGTAAGTGAGCGGCGACCGGGCAGGGGACCGGTTCGGGGGCATGGCCAGCCAATGTTATTACCGGTTCTCCAAACTACTACAAATTTTTACTACCGGTTCTTGCGAAACAGTGCAAAAGGAATAAGGAGGCTTCACATAGGATCATGGAACCATTGCACTCTTTTCCATTCAGATACATTGGCTTTAAACTGGTAAGCCTGCTTATCCACTACTAACTGCATTCTGGCACCTGTGTACCAGGTATCATGTGGTTTAATAACCCATACTTTGTGAATTACTATCTCTTCATTTAGTCAGCATTAAACATATTTACCTTTTGGTAAATAAGCATATTATGAAATTTTTATTTTTAATATCCGTAACAGGGATGCAAATGTGTAGCTCAAAAGTCACATAACATTTAGTTATACAATAGATTTGGAGAGATGGGAAACAATGTGGCAAGTAAATTCATGCATTACGGAAACCTAGTTGGGCTCAGAGAGGGGTGTCCCTCTGACTGAATTGTGCCCACTAGGTTTCCAGGTGCTCCACCAGCCAAGAGCCCAGGGTAGGGGAGGGGGGGCGGTGGTTATTAGGAAGGTCCTTAGTCCGCGGGAGGTCACTGCTCCGAAGATTGACGGATGTGAGGCCCTCCTCATGAGGTGGGGCCAGTATGGTCAGTTGGGCTTGTTGATTGTGTACCTGTCTCCCAGCTGCGTATCAACAGCCCTGCCCGGCTGCTCGATGCCCTCTCGGGGCTGGGGGTGGAGTTTCCCAGACTTATTGTTCTGGGGGACTTCAATCTGCCATCCCTGGGTGTGGCGTCGGGTGTGGCTCGGGAGTTCATGGCTTCCCTGGCAGCTATGGATCTGATTCAGATTATCCAGGGCCCAACTCATGGGGGGGCACACACCCAATCTGGTTTTTGTCTCGGAGCAGTGGCTATATGAGTTCGGTGGGGGATCCCCTACTATTTATCCCCTGTCATGGACCGACCATTATCTCCTTCGGCTAGGCTTCCATTACGCTGCCCCTCCTCGCTGGGACGTGGAACCGACCATCTGGTTCCGCCCCAGGCGCCTGATGGACCCTGAGAGGTTCCAGAAGGAGCTTGGGATGATCCCTCTCTCTCTCTCCCATGCCCCGGTCACGACCCTGGTGGAGGCCTGGGAAGAGGCTGCTACCAGGGCTCTGGACCAGGTTGTTCCTTTGCGGCCTCTGACTCGTCGCAGATCCCAGCCGGCTCCCTGGTCTACCGAGGAGCTCCGGGAGATGAAGCGGCATAGACAAGGCCTAGAGAGCTGTTGGAGAGCAGGCCGTTCCGAATCCGACCGATTTCAATTAAGGTTGGCCACACGGGCCTACCTGGTGGAGCTGGCGGTGGCAAAGCGCCGCTACTTCACCGATGTCATCGCGTCCGCAGAGAATCGCCCTGTTCAGGATGTCCCGCTCCCTCTTAAATCAGAGGGTGAGGGAAGATCCTTTACAGGGACGAGCCGAGGAGTTTGGTCAGCACCTGTCGGACAAAATCGCTCAGATTCGGGACGGCTTGGACTCTGACTGGACAGAGTCAGACTGGGGTGAGACAGCGGGTCCTCTGTTTTGGGAAGAGTTCGATTCTGTTACCCCAGAGGAAGTGGACAGGATCATGGGGAAGCTGAGTGTGACCACTTGTGTGTTGGGCCCGTGTCCCTCCTGGCTGGTTTATTCGGCCCGGGAGGTGACACAAGGCTGGATCCAGGCGGTGATAGTGGCTTCTTTGAGGGAGGGAAACTTCCCGACCGCCTTGAAGGAGGCAGTGGTGAGGCCCCTCCTCAAGAAGCCGACCTTGGACCCAGCTGTATTAAATCATTTTCGTCCAGTCTCCAACCTTCGCTTTTTAGCGAAGGTTGTTGAGAATGTGGTTGCACGTCAGCTCCCGCTGGTCCCGGATGAAGCGAATTACCTCGACCCGTACCAATCGGGTTTCAGGCCCGGGTACAGCACAAAGATGGCATTGGTCGCACTGGTGGATGATCTCTGGAGGGCCCGGGACAGAGATCATTCCTCTGTTCTGGTCCTTCTGGATCTTTCGGTGGCATTTGATACCGTCGACCATGGTATCTTGCTGTGTCGCTTCGAGAGGTTGGGAGTGGGAGGCACTGTTTTAGGGTGGTTCTCCTCCTACCTCTCAGGTCGAACACAAGCGGTGTTGGTGGGGGGTCAGAGATCGACCTTGAGGCCCCTCACCTGTGGGGTGCCTCAGGGGTCGGTTCTCTCACCTCTCCTGTTCAACATCTATATGAAACCGCTAGGGGAGATCATCCATGGTTTTGGGGTGAGGTATCATCAGTACGCTGATGATACTCAGCTTTATATTTCC